AGAGGTGAAGTGGGGTTGGGAGGGAGATGGACGTGGGGGTATAAAATTTATACAGGCCGACGGGGTGCAGTCTATTCTATATTTACCCTTTAAAAAGCTTTGACGATTTGCCCTAATAGAATAGTGTCATTCTATAACCAATATCTATTCTATATTTACCCTTTAAAAAGCTTTGACGATTTGCCCTAATAGAATAGTGTCATTCTATAACCAATTGTATTCTTTTCAACCCCCACTAAATATAACCAAATATTTACCCTTTATGATATGACACTATTCTATTGGGTATTCTAACCATCTCCCACTAAATATAACAAAATATTTACCCTGTAGAATGATGTGACACTATTCTATTGGGTAAAAAAGGAGACGGCTCATAGGATGATGTGACACTATCTATTCGGTAAAAAGTTTGACGGCTTTTTGCCTAATTATTCTATGACGCCTATAGGCAAATATTTACCCTTTAGAATAGTGACACATCACTATTCTATAAAGAATTGTATTCTATGACAAACGACGGCTAATAGAATCATGTGACAAACAGTAAATATAACCAATTGTATTCTATAAACGAAGTTAACCTTTAACGATTTGTCATGGGCCTTTGATTTTTCCACTAAATAAAAAGGAAATAAAAAAAGGACGTCGTCTATGGGCTTGGGCCTTTGATTATCACTAAATAAAAAAAAAAATGTGACAAACAATCACTACGGCATAGATTCTATACCCATGCGTACCCCGATTCTATAACGTTTTTTTGGACTGTTTGTCATGGGCTTGGGCCTTTGATTATCATTAAATAAAAAATGTGACAAACAAATAAAAAAATGACGTCATTTTTGTCACCCTTAAAGTTTAACTATTTGTCATCGGCCCTGATTGTCCACTAAAAATTAAAAAATGATTTGACAAACAAATAAAAACGACGTCGTCTTTGGGCATACACCCTTAAAGTTTAACCATTTGTCATGGGTCTTTTTTTTTTAATTTCTCTTCAACCAATTCAAAATACGAATTTCATATCTCCAAAATTGTGCACCATATGCTCCACTAGAGAATAAAAGGGGAAAAAAAAGGCAAAAGAAAGATATTGATGATGTTTTGAAGTGTGTTTTTTGATGCACTAGATACGCACTACTTGTAGGTAAGTGAACCTAATTGATTATGTAATATAAGATGAATAAGATATCGTTCCTTCGAAAAATATTCTACACCACCAAGACAATATTAAACTAACCTAAGTTGAATTAATCAATTAATGGAGTAAAACTAAACTATTTAAAAGAAATTAAACTAAAGGAATTTTCTAAGTTAAAGAAATTATAAATAGGAAAGAGCTAAGGTTTAAATTTCATTTAATTTTGAATTATATAACTGCTTAATTAATTTAATTCAAGTTCAAATAATAGTGTTATTATATAAGATGGTCTCGTGAAATTTGAGAAGTTTGGACCTGACAAGAAGAAGTTTGCTTTTAAATTTCCTAAAGACGAATTAATGCTTCAAAAGGTCAAAGTGTAGATACCATAAATTGACAGATTATATTTGGTATGACTGCCAGGTAAGTGTTTACCCAAGAGAGGTACAGCCTGAGAACCCCAACAGCTATAGGGCAAGGAAGAGAGAGTACTTCAGGATGCGCAGAGAACGTAGGAAGGCAAAACAGGAAGGCATTGTTGCTCAACCAGAATTAGTACTTGCTTCAGCAGCAGATGCCACAGATGAGAATACAATTTGCTAATTTTGAAAACCGACCACCTGGTTTTTCTTCCTTCACATTGTACCAAAATGAGGCTATCAAGCCAATAATTTTTCATTGTAATCAAAATACACTTGATATCAAGTTAGGCCTTTCTGTTTCTCAAGTGCAACCTCGATTTTATGCTGAGGTATGAATAAATCGGTTCTCACGTACCTGTCTTGTGTCAGAGGAATGGGAAGAGGACCATAGCATGGAATTTTGAAAATGGGAAAATTTTTCATATTGTTTCAGTGAATTGGTTACCATAACCCATTTAACTCCCAAGAAAGGAGTCATTACTTGCATGACTCCAACCAACTACAAACATCTGTAAACATTTTTGTAACATACACAAACCATTTTGTACACAATGAAAAGAGATACCAGTGCGCACTATAATTAAGCATGTTTGATCATCCATAAGATTAAACAACAAAATCCAAGGTGCCAAAAAATAGGGATATAATTGATGCATCAAAAAGTTTTAACTACAATGAAAAAAAGGTAAAGCATTTCCAACATGAAGTTTACTACAAAATCCAAGTATAAACCGCAGAACAGTTCAGTTGGCCAGGTAATGCCTATTTCTCAACCTAAATTGCCAGATTACTTCTGCCAATGCTAATCAAAACCACGAAGTTTTCAATCCATTTTTCTCAAAGCAAAATCTGCGCATAAAAAGAGGATTTAGTAGTTGTTAGGATGATTCATTAAAGTGTGAGTGCAACTAGAAGCACTTGGTCAAGAAACACTTAATCAGCTGCTATTCTTGAGGAATAGAGAGAAAAAGAAATGATTCATTAACAATGAAAATTGATGGGCTAGATAGAGATCTGATTATTTCTCCAATTTTCAACCGTATATTTAGAGAATCAACAAGCAGAATTTCATTTTGTTTCATTGATTTTCCAATTCAAAAAAAATGTAGATTTAG